CGCCGCTATCGCCATTCCATTCTGTGTACAGCCGTCCGCTGCTCATCCCATCCCAACCCTTGTTTGAAAAGGAAAATAGCAAGTAAAGTAACCTGAGGACCCAATCCGACCCAACCCGAAAAATATAGGGTTGGGTTGGGTTGAGTTGGATAGTATAGTCGGTTTCATTGGTTCTCCTACCTGTCCAAGCCAAATTTTTGGGTTGGTCCAAAAAAACACCTAAACCCGACCGAACCCAACTCGTGAACACCTCTACCCAACATAGAATTAAACTGTCCATATAATAGTATAAATACGTAGTCACCCCATGGTCAAAAGAAAGCATAAATAAAGCTACAACAAGTGGTGACTTCCAAATCTTGCAAGTCAACAATATTAGCCAATTTTGTTTTTGTGGCGAACATAAACAAAGAAAGCATAAATAAAGATGATGAGTTAAAGTCGGTCTATACATAGTATAAAGAAATCATAAACAAAGTTCCGTTCTCCAAGTAAGGCATAAAGTTTGTAATGTGAATGAAGTAGAAAGTTTCAGGCAAAAGGGAGTCACTCCGTGGTTCTTGGGATTGACTTAGGAGTTCAAACGACGGCTGATGGTATCTCTTTGGTGGCTCTTAGGCGCAATGGTTTTCCCCCTCATTGTGTTTATAAAGATGCCTGTAGCAATATTTTTCAGTGGAACCCTCCACCTTCTTCATTGTTTTATCATGGGCCAATAAATATTTTCTTTGCATTGTTAAACTGATGTTCAGCTAAAAATTAAAATACACAATGTTAGCATGACAATTCATGTAGCTAACTACATTCACTATACATAGTATCTACTGAAGTATTGACCTCCCTTCTGCAAGCCCAATCTTAGGGTGGAGTACCTATTGTTTTTTTGATCCCGATGACCTATGCATTTCTAAAATGTCAAACCACTTTTAAATAATAAGTATACATAGTTATATGATTACTCACCGTTTCCAAACTATTTACTCCGCTTCTAGCAGATGTCTTTGGAAGCGTTCTGTGACTAAGTTTGGATGTTTCTTGCATACATTATGATTACACGATTACATGTTTCACTTTATACCGTCTATATGAAGGGATGTGAATTTTCTTTTGAAATTTGAAAACACAGAAAAACTAAAAAAGAGGGAAGAATGAGTTTTTACCTTTTTTAAGAACTCCTTCTAGATCGGCATAGACACCACCACTCGTCCACCACCGCTCGCGCGGGTGCTTCCCTCTAAGGCGGAACGCTCCCCTACCGATGCATTTTTACATCCCACAGCTTCGGCATCTTTGTCTAAAGAAATGCCTTGAGAAAGGGCAGATGTATAGAACCTTTCAACGAGATAGTGCTTTTTCAACTCTCTCAAAATGGAATCTATTCCAAACATATATGCCATGGTTCCTTACTTCGAYAGGGTACAAATATCTAAATTTTCTATTTTTAGATACTTTTTCAGACCTATTGCYGATACTAAGTAGCAGCCAAAAATTTGTATCCATTTTTCATGATATTATGCATGGATCAGATATATCATGGCGAATTCTTCAGAAAAAATTGTGGAAGACACAATGGAATCTGATAAGTGAGATTTCGAGTAAGTGTTTACATAATCTTCTTCTGTCCCCTCCCTAAATCTCTTGGTTGAGAAATTTGGATTGTGGGATCCTTCCCGGGTTTTCAAAGCAATGGGAAAAAAATAAAGTTTTAAAAAAATGAAGTTTTTTAATTAAATAGATAATTAACCATTATTTATTTAACTTTTAATTAAATATCACATATTTAATTAAAACCATATATTTGAATCATATTCAAATGCATCTCTTGTATAACCTATAGTTTTAATGTACATCTTATGCATGTTAATTCTAACATATAGTTTTAAGATGAATCCAATTCAAATGAATTATTGTTTGAATCTTATTCAAATATTTCTCTCATAATATATAGTATTAATTGCGAATCTTTATCCAAAATTAATATGTATCAATATACATTATGTCCGTTCCCTATTTGAACATTTCAAATTCTTTCAAAATCTTGATCCTCATTTTATCTGTTCTGAGCTAGCAAAGGAACCTAATGGACCTACAGATAAAAAGCTCCAATGACACAAGATGATTTGATTAAACTCATTAACCATATTAATCAAAATTCATTAACTATGGCTCACTCCACAAAAGACCCACAACTGCACTCTTCTCATTGTAGAATATTTTGCATCCACAGAAATTGACCATTGACGGCAAATCAATCATTCACGAGTGTTCGTAACTTCAGTTGTATCAAATTACCATTTTACCCTTGAGTTACCTCTTTCACCTTAAGTACCATTGCTCCTCTAATGAATAGCCTGTTTATGGTCCGACCATTAAACAGAAGTCGTGGGGCCCCTTGTTCAAGTCTCAAGGTCAGCATTTAAGGGAACACTCATTTATTTACCCTAAAGTTGGGAAGGAGTGAACTCCATCTTCCGTAATTATCTTCTTAGCTCCCCACTCGGTCTCGTCCCCAAAATGGTAGGATTATTGAGTCGGCAGACCGAATCGGGCCACTTTCACCCATACAAATCAAAAGGCGATCTCTTATAGGTAGGAATCCATAACTTGCTCTGGATTAAGATTGAGTTACCTGGTTATCCTATGAAATATTAATCTAGTTAGTTTACGGTATTATTACTAAAGATTAATTAATTCGCGGTCCGATCTTATACTAACTCATTGTATAGGATACCCCCACTCGCATGTCTTCACATGAACGAATTGAATAAAGTTGTTTGTAACTATTACAAAGCAGGTCATATCAATAGTGTTACCGGGATAAGTTACCCAAACTTATCCATTTACCATAGACCATTTAGGTTATTACTAGAGAATTATCCACTTGTACGAATTATACTGTATATTAATTATATATTGTATATCAAATAGATACATTGTATATTAACTATATATTGTATATCAAATATATATACTGTTCCATTTACATTAAATAACCTTAAATCTTAGTTTATTGGAATACGAGTAATGCAAAGAACTAATAAATAACTCATTATTGAATAAATAAATTGTTTATTCATTACAAATACACGAGCTAAGTGTTAAGAATCTCACATTTAAAAGAAAAGGGACCTTACAATGGTTTATAATATACATGGGCTACTACTTTCATTACCAATTGGTTTTGGGATGGAACCCCATAGATATTAATATAGTATCAGAGCCCAAAAAGCTCAAACAAGCAACTAGTCCCAAAATGGGATCAGGCCAAGATCGATAACCCAAAAGAGCCATGATCTTGAGGGGGCATGTTAAGGATCCCACCTTGAAAAGAAAAGGGACCTTACAATGGTTTATAATAGACATGGGCTACTCCTCTCATTACTAATTGGTTTTGAGATGGAACCTCACAAATATTAATACTAAGGACACAAAACTCAATACTATACATCTAAATAAAACAACGGGTTACCTTTCCTACTGTCGCTGCCTCTTTTTGTGTCATTTCATCTTCTCAATAATTTTGTTCTCGTCAATACATGGAGTCACCTCATTGATTTGATCATCAATATCATCAAGTCCATCAAAGATCATGTTCTTTTTTCGCTACCTGAGTTTTATCTTGAGTGGCTTCTTTTTCTGAGACCTTGCCTGCATTAGTAGTCACCGTGCACAACCGCAAGGTGGGATTGTCTTTGTCCACCCGTAGGGTCCTCCTCATCATCTTTACTTTGCACCGCCAGGATTTTTTCTTGGTGGTGATCATCAACTGGATGGTCAGCCTTTTCCTTATCTTTTTGTTTTTCGGCTTCCAGAGTTTCAAGCTCATTTGTAAAAGATGATGTCCCCTGCAACATTACAACCTTCATATATCAGGA